ACCCCGGTAAACTCTCGTATCTACCACTGCGCCCCTCAATCTTTCATCCACAATTATGAAATCTATCATGCTTCTATCGTCACCTCTTTCCCAAGTATACATGTGAATCCTCTTGTGGCGAAAGCAAGTGTTCGTCACAAAAATATTCTTTTCTATACATACGGTGAGGAGACATTCACCATTCTCATTTATACTTTCATCACCAAACGTTCCCAATATCCTTTCATAACCAAGCCTCCTGACCCCAACCCTTCCATTAAAATCTCTTAGCATTATAATATTTTCATTTCCCTTACACTTCATTAACACCATCCTTACCATTTCCCAAAACTGCTCTCGGATATAAGTGGGCTTAGACATGTCTGGGGCGTAGACCCCTAACACAAACAACTTCTTTAAGCCCACTTTCATTCGTATCCATAGCAGTCTTGGGCTTACACATTCATACTCTTTCACACATTGGCCCATTCTTTCTGAAAGGATGATACCTACTCCCTGGCATGCCCGTCGATCTCGTCTACACCAGACCAATATGCGGTATACATGCCATGTGTAGATACATCCGTCCCCTTCCTTTTCGTCTCATCTACGCATAACACATCTATTCCTCTATCATACATCATATCGCATACTTCATCCATTTTATCACTCATTGCCCCACATACATTTAACGTAGCCAGACGGGCCTCTGCAATCCACTTTTTGCCTCTCCGGGAGACAGAACGTGACGGGTGGCGAACCTCGTCGCCGGTTTTCCTCCCGGAGATTCTTCGCACCCCCTGCCCCATTAAAGGGGCGCCGGGAACTCGGGGCCATTTCTTTAATTCGATTCCTCATGGTGCGAAATGGGGTGGTATATTTAACGCCGCTACCACGGCGTGGAGCCGAGTCTGTGGTATCGGCATGTCGCTCATTTAGCACCACCCGGGGGACACGTGTAGGGTGGGCCTAGGAACAGGTGGTCAAAGCCTACGGACGCGAGCGACTTATCCCCCATAGGATTATCTGTTTATAATAAAAACAATAATGATAAAAAGTTGCACTGTAACGGGAAAAATATTTTTTTAACAATGTTGGGACATAATGATTTCTTATAATTACGCGAATAGGTAACTACACATTGAATACAACTACTTTTACGGATATAATCGCGTCTAATTTAAATTATTTTTATTTCCGACGTTTTGGGTACTTTACAGCACCCATGGTCACGGGGGACTGATTGACAAATGTCAAAGTTACCCGGAGTACTTTAAGCTTCTTGATTATTACTTTTTCGTACAATTTTCACGAAAAGTTTTGGGGGAATTGAAAAAAATGAAATTAAACGTGATAAAATCCATAAAATTGGTTTTATTCAAAATAACATTTAGTACTCTAGCTTCTATTGTTTATTTTTCGCATTAATGCCATAAATAAGAATAAAGTCTTAAGCACCATCATATTGTTTTCCTATCGAAACTAATTTTCAAAATCAGAAATTGACAGATGTGAAAATTAGCCAGGAGTACCTTAAGCTTTTTGATAATTACTTAAATCTACGCAGAATTGTCGATGAGGACTGAAATAAGCAAAATTAAAGGCGATTAAATCCATCAATGGTTTTACTCAAAATAAAATCTAGTACTTAAAGTTTTCTTGCTTTTTTCGCACTAATACTTTAAATAAAAATAAAGTCGGTAGCACCAACATATTGTTTTCCAATTAAAACTAATTTTCTAAGTCAGAACTAATTACTTTTAAAATAAATGTAGATTAAGGTCTGTATCCGTAATGAGGTGCGTAAAACTTATTTGTTAGAGACATACTTGGATACCGATTGCGTTGGATAGTCACAGTTGCTAGCGAAAACCGGACTTCTCGTAAATTAAATTAGAATGTTAGAATTTGTGGAAGGGCTGCCGCCATAAATTTCAGGTCCTAATTAGCTCTGCTGGATTACTCCCACCCTACACTCTTTTACGGCTCAGTAACAATTTTTATTGAATTTTAGTTCGCAAACCTTGACTTTATTACGTTACTGAAAGCATTATTTATAAATTTTTTTGATTTTTTTCCTTTGATATTAAAAATCATATAGATAATACGACTTAGGAAACTTCAAAACACGAGCTTATTCTTTCTTAAAAGCCCGGCATCGTACAACTACGTTCTAAAACTATTTGAAATGACAAGTTGTAAGTTCTTTTGTCGTTGCCCATGGACACCTGCAGCTAACTTTATACGAAGAAATTACAGATGCGTTGTCAACTCTGAGGTTTAAGATTGTCATCTGCCTCATAGTTTGTAATTGTACATTTCAGACCGGAATACAGTAATGAGAGCACAGCTACTCGTATTTTGCGACAGTAGTAGTTAACTAACCCAGATGGAGTCTTTGTAAAACAAAGAAAGCTTTGTAAAAAGTCCTACCATTTTTTTCATAGATGAGGGGGAAACCGCCATGTGGCTCACCTGATGGTAAGTGTTGACTGCCAACTACGAATGAAGGCTCTTTTCTTGAATATGTCTAAGTCGTATTGGTCCGGAAAATAGATGGTGCTTGTCAATTCCACAAGAAAGTTTTGCGAGGACGAAAGCTTCTTGTAAATCGCACAGTGGTAAATCGTCAATTATCTTGATGGTATGGATGGTGTCACCTCGTTGATCATATTCGGATGTAAAATGTATAGAGCAGACGACTTGTGGTAATAATTGTAATATTATCTGACACCGTATCTTCATTAGGTTTTGGACGTCTTTCATTCAGTTAAGACTTTTGATAATTCTAATTCCGGTTGTTGCGATTATAGAAAATTCTTTCAATTCGGAAATGGATTACGTCTAGCTTTGTACTATATTTGTGCTCACGATGCTGACTAAATTTCTTATTTTAGACACCTATGCCATATTCTAGTGTTTTACTAGATAAGCAAAAGTTCTCTTCTCAATTTCTGAGTCGTAGTAACTGTGTACTAAATTTGCGTCATGATTGGAAGGGCCAAAAGCCAATGTTATAGGTGGCGAGTCATTTTTTCTTCCAGTCGTGACGCATAACATACATCTATGGCATTTTTGTTATAAAATGATTAGAAATCACTATGGGTTACAGTAGTAACTTTTAGACTGTAGTATGCTCAACTGTAGTAAAAAAGGTGGCAACAGCGCGGTCTTTAAGTAAACACACGCGTTCACATACACACGTGCATCGAACTACGCTCATTTTCGTCAGTACTTCCCGGTGCGTCGTGCAGTAAATTTGCCTACGAAACGTCGTCCTTTTTAAATAAATGATGCAAAAATAATACTTAAGTGAACACAAAGTCTGAAGCAATATCGTTTTTCACGTAAAAAATCATATATCTATATTTTATTTTGTCATTACAACACAATTTTAAAGGTTGTTCGAAGTGGGAATGTTAATCTTCCGAGATAATGTTACGAAGGAATGTTGCCAGTATTTCTTATCTCTAATGGTCCAAGATTTGGGTAATTTATTTTAGATTATATTATAGAAATACATGCCATCAACATATTTTAATTACGTGTTATAATGTTATATCAGGTATGAGTTCAAAGTAAATATTTAAGTTTTAACTCGTTGATGTTTCTATTTTAATTATTGCGTATTTACAATCTATTTTATTATCAAAAATATTTAAGATTTTAGGCTTTCAACAAATATTTGAATAAGAGACGAATGAGTAGCTGCTATGAGACTGAGCCGAAGGGAACCGTAATGGTAGCCATCCTCTTGACTTGACAGTGGTAGAATCACGCAGCTGCTTTTGCTATCGCACGGATGGGCTGGCTCAAACCGGAGTGGTACCACGACCTCACAGAATACCCGCGTGAAGTAAAGGTTTAACTCTGCATTTCGCTTGGTAAGTGAAGGTGATCAGAGGCCCAATTCCACCTGCCTAAACAAAACTACCCCAGGAGTACCATCACCCCTGGTGACGGGGAATCCCTCGCTGAGCAACCACGACCAAGCTATCTAACCTGAGCGTGGGTGCTCAGGCTGCCCTGCATTTTCTGGGGGGCGCAAAATTCCGCTCACGTATAAAGCTGTTTGGGGCAAGCACAACACTAAGACCAAAGCGACCCCTCACGCTATCCGTGAATTTTTTAAAATCAGGAAACTTCATTCCAATATTAACGCTGTCAACTACTGTAACTGTAATCTGGAGACTGCAAAGCTGGCCTTGCTCTTTTTAACCGAAATTCATGTGTGATTACTCTTATATTTGTGGTATTTTATCTCAATTTTCAGGGAATTTTTAAAAAAGTAATATAACATAACGCGACTAACCCGGATTCAATCCCCACCGGCACCAATGAAATTGTTAATTGCAATTTTAAGTGCTAATTTACCACGTGTTCGGTGGTGAAGGAAAACATCGTGAGGAAACCTGCATGTCTGAGGAATAAGAAAAAAAATATTTCTAAGACATTTGAAGTTCGCCAACATGCATTGGGGCAGCGCGGCGGACATTTTCTTGCCTTAAAACCCTCTTAGAAATGAGGAGGGGCCTGTGTACCAGCTGTGGGACGTATATAGGCTGTAACTTTACTTTATTTAAAAAAAAGTAGCAACACTTTTTTATTCACAGAAAGTTATAAAATTGGTTACAATTACAATTTCTTATTCCATGTGCGATATCTACCTTTTTTACTTTATCTGAGACTGAATGCTTGTTTGCCACCTAAATATATAAACTTATATTATGTAATAATCATTATCATTATATGGACGACCATCATACCTTATATAGGGGATATTTGCCATAGTTGCAACGCTTGGTAGGCGGGTTTGTAACCACAGTTTTTTTTTATTACTATTAATATGTTAAAAGAAGATATTTCTGTAGACCTCCTGTTCCAATTTCGTCTAATCGCCTTATGCTTCACCCACGGGCTGATATGTGGCAGTTGATTTTCTTATGCCGTCACCACACGGTTTACATAGATCACTCAAGATGCATTCAAGCTGAAAGACTGTTTCGCTCTAGATTACTAGATTATTTAAGCGGTATGTAACCAGAGCAGCCATATCCCTTTTCCCTTAATACAATTTGAGGTGTGAACATCATTGCATGATTTACGATAATCTCCAGACCCCAGAGTATCTTGAAAATCTTGCTACCATTGTTCAAATCTGTTCGACAATTTTCGGTTTCTTCGCAATTTCGCTTTGGTTTAACAGCTTTAGTCCGTGCGGAAATTTGCGAGACGGAACCCTAATAAATTCACTTAATTAAATAACGACTGTTATAAGAAGATACGCAACATAGTTGCTTAGCAGGCGGTTTAGCAAGAGCAGTTTTTTTATTATTGTGAATTGTTATTAAAGAGATGCTTCAGCCATCACTTGTTTAATTTTCCTCTGCCGTTTCTTACGATAACCATGGGATTATATGGGTAGTGCATTTTCACAAGATGATGTTGTGACCAGGATTAAGAAAGGAATGCTTCGGTGGTTTGGTCATGTGGAAAGAATGAATGAGGAAAGAGTGACAAAGAAAATTTATGTTGCAGAAGTGAATGGCAGAGTCGGAAAGGGACGACCTAGGTGAAAATTTATCGACCAAATCGGCGATTTATTGAAAACGGGCCAAATTAGGAGTACCCTTAACCATCGAGCATGTATGCGTAGGTGTATGGATGTGAAGGAGGCGAGAGAGGTGTGTCAGGATCGTGCCAAATGGAAGTCTGTAGTCTCTGCCTACCCCCCTGGGTGACAGGCGTGAGTGTTTATATATGCATTTTCCTTCACCCACATTAAACAGTGACCATCTTATAATATGCAGTATCTTAAATTCAGACGACGAAGAGTAATTTTTTGGAGAGTAAATTGGGAAGCAAAAAGGATAAACATGTACCCCACACAGTTATCCTTTCAGCTTCCTATTTATCACTATGTAAAGGGTTTTGAAGTATAATTTTAAAAGTATATCAATCATCAATAATCTGATACTATACTGTGTAATGTCGGTGTAAGAATAGCCACTACGCCATATCGTCTCTTTGGTGTTGAAACAGGCGGAAGATGCAAATAATCCAGGAGATGGGCAGCAGTGTCTTCGTAATAACAATTAGAATAAAAAATGCGATTGTCAGCCCTTCTACCAGACGTGGCAACTGTGCCAATGATTTCTCTATGAGACAGCCTTTGAGGGAAGTCTTTGTTCAACAGTGAATTAATTAGGCTATAACAGTACAGGCACTTGCTGTTTATTAATCACAAACACACACAGACACACACACACACACACACACACACACACACACCTACACGCGTGCGTGCATGCGCAAACTATACACTACACTACACGAACATAAATATATAGTACTATACATACATATATGTATTTATACATTTTATATCATAATACACTCTTAATTAGTATTTTATCCTGGATTTTCGCTGTAATTTTAAATAATATAAGAATTCCTTTGTTTATCTATCTATCTATTGTTTTCCTAGAATATTTTCATTCAATGTCATAGCATTCGAGGGGTGGGAACCTGGTGACTTGTACTACAGGCTTATATATGCCTACTTCAGGCACCAGCTTCTCACATAATAGAATTCTGTATATGTACTACTAGATTTACATTGTTTTACTTTATGTTATGTGAGAGGATAAATAAAGACATTATTATTATTATTATTATTTAGGGGTATCTATATAGTTTTCTCATCTGGTTGGGTGCTATAAATATATAATTATAAATGAAAATGAAAAGACAAATATACATAAATATCAATAACATAAAATAAATATAAAAGTACATAAATAAATAAAAGCCCAACCAGATGGAGGCCCTCGGCAGGGGGAGACCAAACGGCCGAGGGTTAGGGGGAAAGGGAAAGAAACCGGCGGACGATGCGGGCGGTATCGAGGAGCACCGCCTTCTGCATTTGAACCTGGAGCGGTCCGCCACGTAGTCCCAGCCGCCTCAGATGACCCGAGAGGCTGACTGGGATTAGCCCGTTTGCAGAGACGACTACAGGAATAATTTCGGTCGGCAGACCACCCCACATGTCGGTTACCTCGTGAGCCAGGTCCAGATATTTTGTTTGCTTGTCTGTTTCGGCTTTCACGAGGTTCTCGTCATACGGAATGGTAATGTCGACCAAAAATATCCTTGACTGTGCCCGGTCCATCAGCACAATATCAGGCTTATTCGCAAGAATAGTCCTGTCTGTGATGATGGCCCGGTCCCAATAGAGCCTGGCGCGATCATTTTCGAGCACGGCTTCCGGCAAGTACTTGTAATACGGCAATTTCCGATCCACGAGACCGTATTTCAGAGCGAGCTCCTGGTGTAGAATTCTGGCTACTAGGTTGTGCCTGTGCAAGTACTCAGAGTTAGAAAGCGCCGAACAACCGGAGATAACATGCCTAAGTGACTCACCGGGATGGCGACAAGCTCGACAGATGTCGACGGTGCCATCCTTTAGGATGTATCTCCGATAGTTGTTGGTCTTAATAACCTGATCCTGTATTGCACAGACAAAACCCTCGGTTTCCCCGAAGAGATCACCAAAGCGTAGCCAGTGGAGGGAGGCTACTGTGTCTACGAAAGGCTCATGTAGAGCCTTGTAGAACCTCCCGTGGAGCTCCTTCTCCTTCCATACGGTCTCCCGGTCGGAAATGCTCTGCACTGCCGGGTCTTGCCATTGCTCGTTGGCTAAGGATAGAGGGGTAAGTCCTTTATCACAAGAAATGACGTCCTTATAGAATGGATCATCCGATCTCGCCAGGAAGTAATCACGGAGGCTGCACACTTCGCGATTATGCATGGTGAGCGCGCTCAAGAAGCCACGCCCACCATGCTTCCGCGGCAAGTACAGCCTCATTACCGACGCTCTCGGATGATGCATCCTGTGGGACGTCATGGTAGTGCGGACTTTTCTATCCAGGGCGTTAAGTTCAGTCTGAGTCCACCTGAGTATGCCAAAGGTATACATGAGGACAGGCATGACCCAGCCGTTATATGCGTGTGCTTTATTCACACCGGACAAAAGGCTGTTAAGCACTTTGGTCAAGCGTGCATAAAACACGTCGCAAACTGACTGTTTCATACCAGTCTCATCGATACCGATGTTTTGTGACATACCCAGGTATCGGTATGTTTCAGCCTCGGAAAGGGTCCTTAAGTTGACGGGCATAGATAAGTCTACGCCCTCAGAGTTAGCAACCCTTCCCCTTTCAACATGGAGGACCGCACACTTATCCGTCCCCAGCTCCATTCCAATGGAATTGCTAAATTCACAAGTGATGTTTAGCAATTCCATAAGATGGGAGCGACTGGAGGTGAATAACTTGAGGTCATCCATATAGAAAAGGTGGGTCACTTTTGTCCCTCCTTTCCGTAGCTGAAATCCCCTCCCGGAGCCCTCCAGTAAGGTACTGAGAGGGTTCAGAGAGAGGCAGAACCAGATTGGACTCAGACAATCGCCCTGGAAGATACCCCTTCTTATCCTTATGTGGTTCTCCGCAGCCATCATCCGCTCGCCTAGATGACAAAGGATCGTACTCCACTGCCCCATACACTGCTCGAGGAAGTCTCTAACTGTACAGTCTATCTTGTACAGCTCGAGGACTCTCTTTAGCCATGTATGGGGCACCGAGTCGAATGCCTTTCTGTAGTCTATCCAGGCGGCGGAGAAGTTCCGACGGTTGCGTTTCACCACTTTGCCAATGACCGCGTCAATGAGGAGTGGTTCCTTGGTTCCACGACCACCGCCCCGACATCCATTTTGAGCGCGCGACATCACCTGATTTGAGTCCAGGTGACAAGTGATTCTCGCGCTCAAAATGGATGTTAGTGTCTTGTATATGGTCGGTAGACACGTGATGGGGCGGTATTTGCTCGGGTCTGTGGTACCCTGGTCTTTAGGAACTAAATGAGTGATCCCAGTAGTGAAGAGGCTTGGGAGCGACTTCTGGTTGAGAGCCTCTTGAAACTGTCGGGCGAGCACAGAGTGACACACCATGAACCCCTTCAGCCAGTAGTGATGCAGCCCGTCAAGCCCCGGACTTTTCCAGTTCGGGGCCCTACGAACCGCCTCAGCTACGTCATCCGGCGTTATGATGACGGGGTCCATGGGCGTAATACCCGCACACTGACTCGCCACAACTTCCGTCCAAGGGCCCTCGCTGTGGTTTACGGGCTCTGACCACAGGCCGCGCCAGAATGCTACAGTGTCGGCCTGATTCGGTGCTGGACCCGTTCCACTTACCATTGGTCGCTCCAATGATTCATAGAGCCTCTTCTGATCACTCTGGAAGAGACGATTCTGGTTGAACCGTGTCGACCTCTCGGTATATCGCCGAATCCGCTTTCCCCAAGCAGCGATTCTCTGCTTCAGATCATCTATGCGCTCCGTCAGTTTTTGCGTTATATCCGGCTGGGACAAACTGACATTTGTCCCAGCAAACGCCATCCTGACGGTGCGCACAATTCTTGGCCTGTTGTTGCCTGATCTGAAGCATATCAGTCTGCCGATGAGAGCTCTAGCCTTTGCGATACGTTCCTCAATTCTTCTTCTCCATGCTGGGATAGCGCTACTATGGCCAGTAGCGCGTCCAGCCGTGGAAACCTTGGCGCCTATGATACGGCAGACTGCCAGCGCGGCGCCAAAAAGAATTGAGTCCGTCTCGCAAAGGTCCCGGCTGGCTTCCAAATAGGTAACCAGCATTGGGTTCAGAGCCCTCACGACAGCCCGATTCCGCTTGCTTAGGGCTATGCGGGGGAAGTCGCGGTCGATTTTCGAGAGGCGTACTGCGCGTTTCCACAATCGCCTCTTCCAATATACTCCTCATATGCTCTAATTCCAGTTCCTGGGCGACTGTTCCATCATCGTTTGAATCAACCACAACTGGGGTATTCACGGCGGCATCCACGTTTGCGGGTTGCTCTACCATTTGTGGCGCCGCATCCTCAGCCGTAGCATTCTCATCCGACGAGGGAACAGCCTCACGTCGTAGCCGTTCGAGTTCGGCGACATCAAATATATTTGAGCGCAAGATATACCGAACTCGGTCTGCCAGGTTTTGCTCTGTGACGATTAAAGATGGCTCCAGCTCAGCAAAAAGACGATTATTATTATTATTATCACTCGTGTAATTGAGAACTACTTACTATTTTATGTGCTTATTATCAGTGGGGAGGCCTGTGTTCAGCAGTGGACTTTAAAAGGCCGTTATGAAAAACAAATGTAATTGAAATCGTTACATCGTTAAATATAATAAAATGTACAGCAAGAAATAAAGCAAAACAATAGTAACATCGTTAATGAAACAAATCGAAATCCATTAAATAAAAGCTGACGTCGTTCTGATTCGTTTTTTAACAAAAGTTGTAGCCATTACTTATTAGGACATTGGCATTTGTAAAACTTTCCGTACCAAAAGGCGAGGTATTTATGATTTTATTTTATTGGAGTAATTAAATGTATCACATTTTTAGTGGCAGCCTATTACATTGTACTTAAATAATCCACTGCTGTACATAGGAATCCTATAGATTACTTCACAGAGGGATATTTGTGATAGTTGTCATGCTTGGTAGGAGGTTTGGCAACAACAGTTTTTAATTATTTTCCGGTGTTATCAGAAAAATGCTGTTTCATAGCACGGTACCTATTCGTTGGTGGAATTTATTACGTATCACTAGTACTTCAATTGTAAGACTGGGACACCTATTTCCACGGTATTTTTATTTAAACTCGAAAGAAGATCGAAAATGAAGCATTTATTGTACCCTTTTGAAGGTTTGGCAGTTTTCATAAGTTAAAATAGACAATAAGTTTCTATCTTGATTTGTATAAATTTTAATCCTGATTTGTATTTTAAATTAATTAAATATGAAAAGAAGACCGAGGCACCTCATTCCAATGCAAAAGTCCTTATCCGATTTATGTATTTGGTTCCTGATTCGAAGTGTACAAAATGCGAAAGAAATAGGTTGGAAGAATAATATACATTGTTCATTATCCTTCAACCAAAACTATTATAATTTAAAAATAAGTTAATTTCATTTTTAATTATGCAATAGAATAATTGTCCAGCGTTGTTGAAAAATTTTGATTTTCCTTCACAAATCCCCCTAACAGCGAGAGAAAATTTTTCAGATGGATTATCTTTGCACTATTATGTGGATATGTGGAAATTTAAAGGAATAGCTGGTTTGATTACGTAATAAGCGTCTAATCCTCAATCAATATAAAAAAATTATACTTATGAAATAAAATCATATTATTACCTTATACGCATAGCTAATCAATTTTATTTTATTTAATACTCGTGTTCTTAGAGTATTTATAAGCAAGCTATAGAGTGCGCGTTAGCTAGTATGAACCGTAAGCCCGTCTTTGGCTGCCGTATGAACAGTCTCAAATTGAGATTTTCTTCATATGAAATTTATTAATTTATTACACCTTCACGATATAGGGTAAAACTTAATACTTTTTTCATATACTCAATTTTGTGACAATATTAAAATAACTTCCTAACTTTTCTCACAGCTTCACTCTTATAGATTTTGGACAGGTAAATAACAGGTAGTAAAAATGTCCTCCAGACTGAATTCCAGTAAAGGTAGCCAGTATCCGCCAAGCGCACAGTACTATTTTATGCGGTAGAGCAATACATAGTTTGAAAAGGCATGAATAGTTTGAAAAGTTGGCTCAACCAGGGAAGGAGCAAGTTTTTACAAAATAATGACGTGAAGTAGCAGCTTGATACTGCTGTATTTCGTATTCCCTTTTCACTGTAAATGAGGCATTATATTTTAGTCCTCAGGGATGACAACGAATCTGCATTTTGATGCTTAATTGAGTATAGATGTACCACCACTATCTATCAGGTGGACTTTGCTTTTGTTTGTCACCCACATACTATATAACTTTCATACTTTGATGGGATGGGACGAAATCACGGCTGAAGAAAGATTAGGTAGAGAACCAACGGATTGCAACGGGTGTGCAACACCGCCAACTTCCTGACTATGAGCTGCTACTGAGATATCTTTGAAAGACAAACCCAAATACTAAATTTAGCCTAACGGGGATGCGAATCCAGTATTACATGATCAGCAGTCATCCTTATGAATGCTAGAATATTATTTTGAAAGATAACTAAGCATGTTCAATAAATAAAAAAGTTGTTGAAACACTAGACAATTCATTCTTTTTATTGAAACGCTTGTCTGACACGATCATTGTTTCCATTCAATATTTTTTAAGCTTCGCCTCGTGAGGATTGCGAATGTAGTAATCAGCAGCCAAGTTGATGTTTGGATCAGTGACATACGTGCACTAATATCATGCAAAAAAATTAAATAAGAGTTTGTGTAGATATTTAATATATAATCGATATTTTGATATAGAATATGAGCGTGAAATAGCAACGCTTCTTTGGTGCAAGGGGTTTGGGTTTGGTTATGGCATTGCGTCTGCAGGAATCTCTTAAAGAAAAATATGTAAAGGAAACACAAAAATATCTTCCAGATTTGGATATGCGATTTAAGTTCCTCATTTATAGTGATTAGGCATCACTGTAATAGTTTCTTTTTCAGTTTGTATTGTTTTGTAACATAAAAGCGTCTGTCATGAGATGTTTTTATTTTTATTTAATGTAAATCTTTAATTTCAATAACAATAATGTCCCCCAGACCGAGTTTCAGCTAGTCTTAACGGAAACTACCCCCAGTCGCACTCTTTATTCCATTACACAAGAAGTAAAATACCCTACGTTCTAACAAATAACTTTTTAAATGGAATCAAATGGTGGTAAACACTCCTAGGAAAACCAAATCTAATAAGGAGAGTGATGATATGGTTATTAATTTGAAATAACTTTAATCTAATGGTTAAGAGAACGGAATCTAATATATCGTGGGTTGGAATCTTCTATTTCTACTTACCTATTAGCGCTTAATAGACTTACATAGTAGGACCAATTGTCCGAATACAGATACTTCCAATTTCGAGCGAATGAACAATCGATGGATCCAACTCGTCGTGGCGGCGTTTGGGATATCACGGGAGATTTCATCATATAATCTAAAAACTTGAAGAGAAAAGTGTACAACAAGAGCGTATTACAGTGATGGATCTGAGCTGGGGGAACTTCGCTGCTGGCCGTATTAGAAAATTCAGAATGCGGAGATCCGCAGTAATACTGACATAGCCTAAAAGAATAATAAGTTGAAGTGGCAATGGGGTGATCTTGTAACTCATAACATATATATCAAGAATAACATTGACCGATGTTTTTCTTACTTGTGCACCAATAAATTCGAAATATGATATTCTGTATACTTTATAGTACTATTATAAACCAAATGTAAGATATATTGAATTCTTAATTCTGGTTCATTTCTACATGGTGTACGTCGTTCTATACAACCGTGTGTCACGAAAGGCTTAAGTAATTCTGACTTAAATACGGTAGAATGAACCTGTTTGTTGAATTGCACAGAAACATAAAGCTGTCTCGTTTGATTTAACATATTAAAAAAAACAGTTCAAAAACCGTACCTGGTGTTCATAAAACTTGTTTATCTATAAGTGATGCGCATTCGATCGATCAAAAATATTATTAATTTTCAGGTGCTGATAACTACCTTGATATCGACGACGTAAATGCTTTTTATACCGTTTGCATTTTTATATAGTTTGTTAGATTAAATGGTCCATTGATTTAAATTTTAGCTTTTTTAGTTCATTGTGAGATAAGATAATGACTCGAAACATTGCTGCCTCTACTTGTTTTGAAACTAATACGAACCCATAATCATGAATAACGGAGACTTTCGTATTGTTATTTTCAGCAGGCCAATCTGAGTCTCAGTTAAACATTATGCATTATTTGAAAGACTTACAGTGAGCCAGTAAATACTGAGCACGAAGTTTGGTTACCACAAAAACTGCCAGTTCAACGTTGAACTATTTTAATTGCAAAGTTATCGCCACATAGCACTTATAGCTTTTTGATGAACTTTTTCTTATTAGTCACTTACTTGAGACGTTTATTTTTTGACTAATATTAACTAGTCCTAGATTAATATCGCTCGTATAAGTTTCGCTAAGTCTCCGTCGCAGCCAGGAGTCAGTGTGTTGGCGGTGTTTTACGCCCGTGCTTCAGAAAGCTCGTAAAGCAGTTGGTCGTGTGCCTGATCTCTCACCGGTCGTGTCGAATTAGTCACCCTTTTGACTGACTATGAGTGTGAAAGGAATAGAGAGTGCATCTGTGTTTACGCATACACTCGGAACTATAATACTCTCTGGTGCAGATGGCTAGTCTCCATTGCGTCTCAAACACATTCATTAAACGTCCGGATTGTGAACTCTACAGAACGGCCACGAATGTCATACATTGGACGCAACGCACGAAACGTTAGACGAACAGAGCAATGATTATGATTATAATTTTTAAACAATTTCAATGCGTTCATGAAGCGTGTAGTGTCCATAGTAAAATCAAAACTACATTCTTGTCTATGTCGACAGCTTTCGCTTTACAAAGCTGGCCGCTATACGCTGTCCCTATAAAAAACGCCTTTTACATTAATTTGACATTATTTTTGTATTAAAATATAACATTACAGAAGAGAAATAGGGTCATTTACTTTAAAGTATTACTGAATGTATAATACCGGTATTCGTTATTCTACTGTATTGTATTATGCAGAAAA